TCGGGCGCAGCTGCAGGTACTCCTGGGGCCCCGGGGTCGCGGGCGCGGCGGGCAGGTCTGCGGCCGCACGTCGGGGGTTGCCTGGCCGCGTGGAGTTTCCCCGTTTGGGGTTTCTCCTGCCGGGCTCCGTTTGCAGCTCGGGCCGGTGCGGCACGTCACTTTCTGTTGAGATCTATTCAGCGTCCGTCTGATTAGGTAATAGCAGGAGGTTTCTGGGTCTCGTGGCCTTTACAGAAACAGCTTGGTTGTGGCCAGATTCCATTGCCTGGAGAGGGGCGTGCTCCTACTCGTGTCCAGTACTCTTTACAGATCCTTAACCCGGGTTGTCGGGTCTGGAGCAGGGCACAGGCGGTGCCGGGCCGGAGAAGGCTGCACCGGATTTGTGATGTTGGGAGTCCAGTTCTTTGATGGTTGTGTCGTCATCGTATACTAACACTTGAACAGAAACTTCCCAGACTTAGCGTTGCAAACCTTTTATGTTGCCTCTAACACTCCTTATTTATTGTATATTGCATAATTTTTTGTTTGGGGGCTTTTAAGGAATTGTTTTTTATTGTGGCCAGTAAATCGCAATTTATTACCTTTTTATACACAATTTCTCTAAGCTTCATGAAGTCAGGATGTATTTTAAATAGCTTCATTCCAACACATAGGAATTCCAACACATTGTTGGGAGCCAAATATTAAAGCCAAATGTTAGAACGAAATTCAACTATTAATTATTATAACTTTCTTCTTTCCTTAAAGGGGAATGCAAGCAGACAGATCCTGATGACCCAATAGATAAGCTGCTGTTGGCAAATTGGGGACTTCCTAAAGCGGTATTAGAGAAATACCACAGTTTTGGTGTAAAGAAGATGTTTGAATGGCAGGCAGAGTGCCTTTTGTTGGGACAAGTTCTGGAAGGAAAGAATTTAGTTTATTCAGGTATTCAAATTTATGCAAACTAACCTCTCTACTGTTTTAAAGTTATGAGTGTAAAGAATATTCTGTAATAGTTACAATTTTTTGTTATTTTTTAAAAAGGTGAATGAGACAGTGCTTTATAACTAGAAAAAGTCTCAAAATACATGAATTTAAGTTACAGAAGTTCTATTATAGGGCTAGGAGAAGAAAAAAGAAAGCAAGAACAATTACAGTTTAAAGAGTGAGCAATTCTGCCTGCAATTCTGCTCAACCGACATGTCCTAGAGCGAGTGTGCGATGGGAGGCATAAATTGCTTTTCCCCGTGATTGCAAGTTGCATTTCAGGACATGAATATAGGCTTATAAACTGACCTGTTTGGATAGGCTTGTACATAAAATAAGTGTGATATATTTTATAGATACAAAATCATGTGTATACACTTTATATAGGATGTTTGTATGGGTTTTCAAGGGCAACTTTGGCATACACAATTTTAACCTGTGCTTACTCCACTTACATTAGAATCTAGTTATTTGGTTAGATGGAGTTCTTTGATGTTAGTTTTCTCTGAAAGTTTGAATCACCCAGATTTTTCATTATGGCTGCAAAAAAAGAATTAGAGAATCAGTTTATCAGTAGATATAAATTCAGGCTATAAATGAGACTAATCAGGGTTGAAAACCTTCACTAGTTGTGTAACCTCAAAATACATAGAGAAAATATTTGAATAAATATGTGTTTGGGAGAGTCTGTGTGATTTGGTAGTATTTAGGAGGATTAAATTATTTTATATGCTAAGAGCTTAGAACAGTTTATGGCAAAATAAAGTATTTGTAAATGCTAACTAGTGTTAGCAGCAGTGATAGAATTGCCTTACTATTTCATTGCTTAAACAAAAACTTGGTGGGGGACTAGCAGATGGCATAGCAGTTCCGTTGCTGGACTTTCACATGGCTGACGGTTCGAGTCCTGGACCCGGTGGGTTGAAAATCACGTTGGGCGCATGTGCCTGCTGGCCCAAGATCCCAGGAAGAGAATGGAGGAGAAGGGAATTGCAGTGTAGCCATCTTAATCCACCCCCCCTAGTCCCAGGTGTGATTACTCACTTTACCTCTCACTGTGTCTGTCAGCCTCTCTCTCCAGTGAGCCCTAAGGCAAAAAACCTCTAAAAACTCTAAAAAACAAAAACTTGGGTGTCATTCATAACTCTGGCCACCAACTCACATACTAATTACTGAGTCCTATATCTATTATCTCAAATATCTCTTGATTCTGACTACTACATTTTTTAAGAGATTTTTTTTTTAATGTGTACATGCACTTGCTGGAGAGACAGAGACAGAAAGTGAGAAATCAGCTCCCCCCACCCCGGGGGATGGCCACACCACCATCCCAGGTCTGGGACTTGAACCATGGCCAACTACGTGGGAGTCCAGCGATATAATCATTATTCCATCAGTTGCTCCCATGTGCCCCTTGCTTTCTTATCTCTTCTTTCACTGTGCTGGAGGCTAGAGGTTATACCCCAGGCTTACTAATTACTTCCTGTGATCTGAAATGCCAGGCTTTCCTCTAGGCCTTTGCATAAGCTGTTTCTCATGCTTGGCATTCTATTCTTCTATCCTTCCCTTTTTTCTCAAAATTTGTTTCCTTTCCACTTTCTACAGCTCTTCTCCCTCCCCAGTCACTTTTGAAAGTCATCCCTTTCCTCAAATTAGGGCTTTGAACCATTCAGCTCTGAAAGGGTCTCTAGGTTCTAAGCTACTACTCAGTGACAGCCATCCTATCCTTTATTGCTGATTAAAGATTTGTTTACTCTCTTAAGAGGCAACTGCCCCATCCTTTTGCCCCAGGCAGGCCTCCTCCTGTGAGACCTTCCCTAACTCCCTCTTCCTTCACTTATTCAAATAGTGTTGCACTGATCCTGGCTAGTTCTTTCCTGCTCTAACTCTATCCCTGGGGAGTCTCAGCGGTTTCTCCCTGGGAACTGCCCTGGATCATTAGAGCAGAGTTAACCAGTCTTGCTTTTCTTTGAGGAGCTCCGCATGACTATGGAAGCCATCACGCTTTTATTTAATGTGCATGATTCCCCTGTTGGTGTGTTAGCTAGAGCTCGCTGGGCTGCAGTCCTTGGGGAAGGGCTGCTAGGAGCCTGACCGGGGTCAATGTTTGCTGAGCACGCTGAACCGTTTCTCTGCCAGAGCCAGTGGGGCTCAGTTACGGAAATGAGCAGTGTATGGCTCCCTCTGCCACCGTGAGCTCTTTGATGATAGTAGACTGAGGAATCAGAATACCACTTACTAAGGGACATTCCTTGAACCTGGCAGTTAGTAGGTTATCCTCTTTAATTCTTTTTTGTTTGTTTTTAAAAAAAATCTTTGTTTTAATTACATAAACAATATGAAATTGTTGTATAAAATTAAAAAAAATAGAAGTGTATAAACTCACCTGTAGTTAAAACAAACTATAGATTCGTTTACTATATTTTCAGTGTGAGACTGTTTAGAAAGCTAGGTTAAAGTCAGGGATTTCAGGGTGTAGAGGTTTCAAGTGTTGAATGGGACCTTAATGTTAGCTTAGCCCTAGGCTCTGGAGAACTAGATAGGACTTAAAATATTTGCTAATGCAGTGTATCATATGTTATTTCTTTTTGTTATAACCTCGTGAAATAATCTTTTTTCTTTCTTTCTTTCCTTTTATTTTTTTTAAGCTCCTACAAGTGCTGGGAAGACTCTCGTTGCAGAGTTACTTATTTTAAAGAGAGTTTTGGAAATGCGGAAGAAAGCTTTGTTTATTCTTCCTTTTGTTTCCGTGGCTAAAGAGAAGAAATATTATCTCCAGGTAATGTTTTTGTACTAAGCTTGATAGAAAGGCCCACTGTTGGCAGCCTTGACTTTATTCATTTGATATAGAATTATATAAGCAAGTAAAAAATAGTTTCTTTTATCGCATCTTATGTAATGTTTAAAGTTGACCAACAAAAGTGTTAAAAGTTTAAACAGTGAAACTCTTATTTTTAGTTTATTTAATTAAGTAATTTATTTTTTGGAGAGTTTTTTTTTTTTTTTTTTTTTTTTTTTTTTTTTTTTTTTTTTTTTTTTTTTTGGGGGCCCCCCCCCCCCTTAAGAAATAGGGTGCCTGCGCTCGCCAGAAAGACAGAGAGAAACAGAGAGACAGAAAGCGAGAAATCACACCCTAGGGGGGATGGCCATGCCGAAATCCCTTCTCCTCCGTTCTCCTCTCAGGATCTCGGGCATGCACGCACATGCGTCTGGCATGAGTTTAAGCCACTGGGTCCAGGACTCAAACCGCGGTCAACTACATGAGAGTCCAGCGACATAGCCATTACACCAACCCAAAACTCTTATTATTGTGTAGAGAAGTAAGAGTCATCTATTTGTGTTTGGTTGTATGTGCATAAAGAAGGATGGGAGGATGCCTATGATGGGGGAGCAAAGTAGGAGGCAAAACTGGGCAGATGGAGGCTAAAGGGGAGATTTTTTTCACATTTGTAATTTTCAATTTCTGAACCAAATGAATATAATAAAACTTTTATAAAGAAAAAATTCTAAAAGAAAGAAAAGAAATAAGGGTTGGGAGCCAGCAGATGGTATGGTGGTTAAGGTGCTGGACTCCCACATTGTTGAATGCATTTCAAGTCCCAGACCTGGTGACTTGCTTTCTCACTTTCCCTCTTTCTCTGTCTCTCTTTGGTGAGCAAATAAAAAAAAAAGCAATAATCAAATTATAATAAATCTTTTTTTTTTGAGAGATTTTCACTATAGGGCACGTGCACTCGCCAGACAGAGAGAGAGACATTAGAGACAGAAAGCGAGAAATCACCCCCCAGGGGGAATGGTCACGCCACAATCCCTTCTCTTCCATTCTCTTCTCGGGATCTTGGGCACGCACGCACACGCGCCCGGTGTGAGTTTTAAGCCACCGGGTCCGGGATGCGAACCGCGGTCGACTACATGGGAGTCCAGCGACATAGCCATTACGCTAACTGCTGGTTCCCAATAATTCTTTTTTTAAAAAGAATTATTAAGAGTCATCAAGTTGAAAGAGTAATTGATGAAATTTATATAAAAATGTGTAAACTTTTCTTTGAAAAGTGAGTGGAATACTTCAGTTACGACACAAATGTACAAATTAAGGATCAGCATTTTAACTGAACAGTAGGGCTAGACTAGAACATGGGA